TCATATATATATATATATATATAATATATTATAATAAATGTAATGCAAAATATATATGTATATATATATATATATGTGTGGGTGTGTGTGTGTGGGGGTGTGTGCGCGCGCGCGCGTGTGTGTGTGGGCGCGCGCGCGTGTGAATTTATGTAATATTTTGACAAAAACCATTCTTGAGAATTTTATACCACATTTTTTGCAATAAATATATATAATAAATATTTTCCAAATATAGAGTTGTTTTGAGAAGATTTTCTAGACGTAATTACAGTTTAAGAACGTGTTTAAAGTTTTGCCATATATACATAGAGACTAAACTTATATCCTTTGTGCTTACTGATTAGGTAATCAAAGTGGAATCAGCCGCTTTTCTGTTAGTATACACTTCGAGTGGATAAATACAAATTATTATTTTATAAGTATATTACTTTCAGTCAAGTCAATGTTAGTAGCCACAAAAATAAATCAAAGAAGTAAACTTACCTCCAATTCCGCCAAAACCTCTTACAAACTGAGACCCTTCTTGAGATTTGTCTGTAATAATTTCCAAAGTGGCTCCAAAACTCTTGTAGTTATTTGCTAGCCATTCAAGTAAAGGCTGACATTCTACAAGTTCCAATTCCACCCCACTCTAAATATAACACAAAACAATCAATGTTAATTACTTTTGTTTATTTAATTAATTTTATTAAGCAAATGAATTTAAATCAAAATTATTTAATTTACCTCTTTGTCTGTAAAATGAGTTTTGTCTTTTTCTTGTTCTGGTGTTAGGTGTAAAACCTTTTCTTCTGCATTTGTATGGTTTTTTAAAACATATCGCTGAATATCTAAATTCTCCCAACAAATGAGAGTTTCTACACTGCCTAACTCTAATGCTCTTAATGTATCTTCTACTCCAAAACAGTATTTTCCTGTATCTTGTGAAATTTCGTCGAAGTAACGACCTAAATAAAGAAATTATACTTAAGTAAAATAAATTAACAATTTCGTTTTTGTCTCTACAAGCTTGTATTTTTTTAATATTTTAAAGGATGTATACTAACCAATTAATTTTTTCTCTTGAATAAACTTTACATTTTGCAAAGATTCAGCAGCTAGCTCAATAGCTTGATTAAAACCATTTTCTCCACCATATGAAACATCTACTAACTTTATAACTTTTGCTTGTAATCTCTAAACCAGAAAAAGTATGCAAAGTTATGTCAAACAAGTAATAAATTTAATTGCATATACGAATATATATATCGTCATTCTACAAGAACTTACTGGATCAAACATATCTGATTGACTAAGTTCTGTTTTAAAGTCAGCACTACCCGCTAAAATTAAACCAGCAATATTAGGTTTGTCATTAGTAATGTACAGTTGGGTAGCTACTTCTGCAACTTTTCGAACATAATTATGTCGTTTTTCCATCCGCAATCGAGCAAAACGAAGAGCTGACTGTCCTCCTCTACCTAAAATTAAATTAAATCGGTTAATACGGTACTTTTCAATAAGTATATTGCATATCTTTATGCTTTAAATATTATGTCAATAATCTATATACCATGCTTCTTTGGAAGATCTACAGTAAATTTATGTAGAACTTCGCGCGTATTTCCTTGCAGTGTACCAAATAATGCTCCATTACCATCCATGACAATAAAACCAAATTTGTTATCATCAGCAAGTAATGCTGTAAGTGCTTCAGTATGAAACTGAAAGACGTAAAAATGTATAAAAATTTATCTTCATTTATTTTTTTATAAAATTATAGAACAATAAACTACCTTATTATCACATAGATAAAGAGAAGTATTAATAGGCTTAAAAGGTTCAAAATCAATGTTAACCTTCTTTTCTTTCCCTTCCTCTGTTACAATGGTACCACAATATATTACCAGGCCATTTGGAGGCACTAAAATAATAATGTACAATTTATATGAGTGAAGCATATAATTACTATTAGACTATATTTGAAAACAAACATTACTGATAAGAATTCATTTACAACAAGAAATGAATTTAAATGTCCATCTATTTTTCATCATTGTAACAGAATTGTACAAAATTTTAGTAAGCTATTAAAATTACCTTTAGTATACAACTTTAACCTATGTTGTACAGATGTGATTGCACCCAAAACAGATAGTCTATTTACACGAGATTTAATATTTGATGCTGTTCCAAACTCGTCTGCTAACATTTTGCTTACTCTTGATATTTGATCTTTTGGAGGGATAATTAATGAAATCATACTAGTCCCATTCCTGTGAAAAAAGATATTTCATACATAATCAATATATATTGCAAATAATGCTACATTATAAAACAATCTGTTTGTAGGAAGTTACACTTGTATTATATTAATAAAAACGTGTATTTTGTAATATAATAAAAAGCTGAATGACAAAATATTGAAGAAACACAGCATACTTCTTGTAATTTTGGAAACTTGAACAAATTTGCATGTAAAGTCACATGAAATTCATTTTCGCAATAGAAATAAAATTCCATTACTTCCTACTTACCACATGCTCTTGAAAGCATATGTGCAGATAGAAAATCGAACAGCTGATAAGAAAAGGCGCGGCAACATTAATTTCGACCTACTTACCCTCTAGCCATTTCGAGACTTTTTATAAGTTTCTTGATTTTCCAGATTTCGACATTGCGGTCGGCGGAAGTCTCCTCATTGGACATTGCTGCGCGTTGTGTCGCGTGGTCGCGGCTTACGAGTTGCTACTAAATTAATCGTTTATCACCAACGGGACGAAGCCTGGAAAGGTGGTCCACGTCGATGTGAAAGCCGGATCTAGGAATTTTTCTCTGAAATGAATGATCAATCCGTTTATCGATGAATCTGCTTCAATCCAGTTTATACCGGATTATGTCAGAAAGAACGTGTTCAACAAAGAATTACTGTTCTATTCCAGAAAACGCAACTATCATTTACCACACTTTTCACTCACTTTGAGATCAGTATGTTGATGTTTGCCACAAGTGTTACGTTTTAAAAACGATACTTGTGACACAGCGGGTACCACGCGAAAGTGAACCTCGGAATGCACACGTCGGCCATGCGATGGCACAGCGAAACGTCAGTACTTCGGTGGACGTACTGTACGGTACAAAATGGGAAGCAAAAAGACTGAAGAGTTCGTGCGCGAGCAGCGCTTCGAGGCCGCTTGTCGTATTCAGGCGCAGCCGCATTTGCATTGGTTGTTTGTGATATTCTACGTTACTTAATGCTTCATCCGCAGTAACTTCGAAATTTCGTCGCTATTTTCTTATTTTCCTCTATTTTTGCTAAAATTTTGCAATAAAATATATAATAATTAATTTAACAATTATTAGTTTATATACTTCGATATATGTCATAAAAACTGGTGTATATTAGAATTCTAACATAAAATTGTAAATATATATTCAATTCAAAGTCTAGTCTAAAAAATAGCATTTTAATTTATTGAAATTTTCGATACGCGTTATTGAAAATTTGATTCTTTCTTATATCAATATCATTACCATATATGAATATATTTTCTTCGTTCTGTATTCAGTAACAATATGATTTGAAAACGTTTAATGTATATATTTTTTATTAGCATTTTTAGTTATAAATAAGTTTAGTCACTGTTCCATTGGCTATGAACATTAAGTTTATTACGTTATCAAATTATTTTTGTACTTGTAAATAACGACATTCATAGATTATTTTTTTCAGCATATAATATTTATTGTAAGATGTGTTGACAGAAAAATAATGTCTAATGAATAGTGAATATCAATGATCATTCATAAACAATGGTGCAACTGTGAAATAATTAAACACATCGGCAGTTTCGATCATTTTTTACATATATTCATGACATACATATAATGTTAATTGTCCTTTAAAACATTAACATTATACAAAATTGAGTTTTCGATCAAGTAGAATATTTTTCTACAATGGGAATACAGTCGTATAAAAGATATATAGAGTATATAAAATCTTCTGGAATATGCATTGTTGTGGTTGGGTTAGTTATACTTATTATATCTTTTTACAAATTATGAAGTAATATGAATGACCTATATTTTTTGTGTAGAGGCTGTTGGTTTTTGTATCAGTTGCGACAAATATCACAAATTTTGCAGTCCTCTGTACCCACTAATGTTCTGAGTAAGGAGCAACCACATACACAATATATATATGTTGATGATCCACGTTTCAAAGGTATGTAGTGGCTTGTTAAAATTCAAATATTTATTACTAAATTTACATATAATGAATTTAAGTCTTTCTGCTGTAATTTTAGATGTTCTCATGTTAAAGAAAATTGAAAATTTGCAATCATCTGTACCATTGAAATCACTTTCATTTGACCATACCATAATGAAATGGTGGAAATCATTAACCCGTAACATGGCATATAAATTATTATATATTGCACAACATGGTAATAATTCAGAACGTTTGAAGGCTCTTTGTTCTCTTTATTCCTTAAAACATTTGAAAGGTATTTTATGTGTATCATTTATTATGATAATTTGTTACATTGATTTTTTATATAAACACTTTTTATATTATCAGTTAAAAATTACAGATTGGCATTATCAGCATATCGCACAAATGTTAGATGCTAAAACTGCAGTATCCCTTGCAAGAATGCCAAATGTTGATACAAGATTTTTTTTGAAACCACCATATTATCATGTAAAGCATCGATTTCAGGTATGTATATAGTATTCTGTTATAATTGTATATTTTTCTGATAGCTGTATTTGTTTATAATGCTGTATATGGTAGCTATATTTAATGAGAAATTATATACTTTTTTAGGATGTATTAGAAAAAGTACATCAATTGCTTCTTTACTTAAATTCATTATGTAGGAATACACATCCATGTCTTACCCAATTTCTTAATAAAAACTTTAAAGATACACCTTCTGTAAGTATATACTATTTAAAATTTTGTAATTTCTATTGTACCAATCATTTTGTGCGCATTTTAATTATTTACAAAGTATGAAAACAGGATAGTTTGATACTTGATCACGATTTAACAAACTTAGGGCTGGCTGTAGCTCCAGCCATAGCTTGGGATGAAGAATTATTACAAAGTTGTGTTCAAGCATTATGCCATCATTCTGGCCTTGAGCAATACAGCAAAGGTAAAGTAAGAAATCCACTAATTAAAAGTATTTTTATCTAATCTACTTTTTGTTTTTAGATATTATTGATGCTGGTGGTCTTCCATTACTAATGGTGCTAAAGAAAATTTTTAATGATAACATTAATGTGTGTATATTACTTGCAAAAATAATTTCTAATATTTCACTCCATTCAGAGTATTTGCAAGATATTTTTCAAGCAGGTAGATCAATATTAAGATTTCAATCGTAGAATTTATAAAATGTTATATGTTCTTTGTGTTTTAATTTCAAGGTTGGATTGGAACATTGGTAGAATGGTCTCATAGCAGTGATATAAGATTATCAGCAATAGCTAGTCGTGCATTGGCAAATTTAGATATGAATGAGAATGAACATGTTAAATACCCGAGATGTATCTATCTTCTGCATCCTTTGCATAAAACTAAAGTAAATACGAAATTGGATGTAATTTTTTTACATGGTCTACTTGGTGGTGTATTTATAACATGGAGGCAAAGAGATTTAGATACACCTGAAGTTGGGGTTGTAGGTTTGTTAGTATTACAAATAGTTGTGTAATAAGTGTGAAACATGAGATTAATTACAATTATATTTTACCTGTTTTATATGTTATTCTGATGAGGACTTATATAAATATTAATATGATACTACTGTTGAAGAATAAGAATATTGATATACTATAACATATTATAGATCCTTACATCATACAAGATGGGATCAATTTTTCAAGTTTAATAGATGACCAATCACAAGAATTTTTGAAAGATTTAGCTTATGATTTAAGGAAACGTGAATGGGATAAAGTAGGACAGGATTTTGAACTAGTTTTAGATGATTGCCCTCAAAACTCTACTTCTAGAGGGAGTGGACCATTTGTCTGTAGCGGGTATAATTTTATTTTAAATCATGTGATTTATCGAAAAATATTTGTATGTTTAAAGGATTTCCAATTTTAGGAATGATGTATCTATGGATAAAATTTATTATGATAAGCAACATAAAACACAGTGTTGGCCTAAAGATTGGTTACCAGAGGATGTCCCATATATTCGAGTTATTGGGGTAAATTATGACACTAATTTGTCAATGTGGATATCTTCATGTCCAATAGAGGGTGCAAAGTAAATAATATAATAAACATTATTATTTAATTCATCATTACAAATAAATTTGTAATTTATTTGTATTATCTGTTGTTTAGAACTACTATGGGCGGAAGAAGTAAAGAATATATAAAAAAATTATTAACTGCAGGTATTGGAAAACGACCAATGATTTGGGTATGTCACTCAATGGGTGGTTTATTAGTAAAAAGAATGCTTGTAAATGGTTTGTTTCATTATCCTTTAATAATAGAAGAACTCTTGATTCTTTAATAAATTTATTTCTTCATACATAATCATTTCTTTTATAGAATGGAAAAATGGTGATCAAAATGATATATGTAAAAATACACGGAGTATAGTATTTTATAGCACTCCACATCGAGGTTCTCGCGTAGCGGCATTAAAACAAGCAACACAAATGGTACTATGGCCATCAATTGAAGTGCAAGAACTTCGTGAAGGTACATTAAAAGTATATTACGATATAGATATAAATTTTTTTGTATATATTTATAAAGAATATGATTTATTTTTAGAATCTCCGCAATTATTAGAATTACATAATGAATTCCTCGACATGTTAAAAGAATATCCTATAGAAATCGTTAGTTTTAGTGAAACTAAATCTACCCACATAACACCATTAAATGTTCCATTTCAGTTTGTTACTTCTAATTCGTCAGGTATGATTTCAATCAAAATAATTTGATATATTATATTTTTATTATTGAAAAATAAAACGTTTATTTTTAGATCCCGGAGTAGGTGAATTTTATGAAATTGCACAAGATCATTTGACCATATGTAAACCAGCTAGCAGGTAATAATCGATGTTTTTTAAATTTCTTATCTATTAGAATTAGAAATTTTAAATTATATATTTATTTTGTAGACATTCTTTCTTATATCGAAAACTATTAAGCGTTCTAAACCGTCATGTAACTCACGAAAAATCAACTATTTCTCCAATTATGGAACTGCTGTCATTACCAAGTAAATTATTATAATTTCATGTATACATGTATATGTATATCTTGTATTTTTGTGTAATTATGAACAAATAGAACACATATTCATTTTATTATAAACAAAATTTATTTTTTTATATGTAGACTGATAGTGATTACGTGAGAAACAGGAAACAAATAAGTACAACAAATTTTTTCTTTTCTTTTTTTAATTATAATAACGATAAGTTCAATTTAGAATGAACATGTTTATATTACAAAAATATCAAGTATTTTTAAATAATCATTTAACACCGCTGATCATTTATTTCTTTGACTAGAATGAACATTAAAATTTTCGTAATAGAATCGATAAACGAATGATATAAAATGATTAAATTATTCAATAACAGTTTTCTAAAATCAAGTACAAGATACTAGTTGATTAATGTAAGGTAACATTGTAGTATGGTTTTATAACTGCAGTGAATTCTAAATGTATGGATAAAACATATGAAATTCACAACTTTTTTCTAACTTGACATTTTCTATTATTAATTAAACAATATGTCAATGTAAAATTTTATATTGTATTCATTTAAGGCACTGAATAAATTAAAGGAAAGTAGAGATAATAGAAATTTTATTTTATTACCATAAACTTTAGAAATTTGTATCGTAATCAGGATGATGACGATTCGATAAATTAGTTGTACTGTCGTAGCCGCCGTATTTACTGCTGGTATGAGATCCATTGTAATAATAACCGTTCCATTCTGATCTCCAACTGTCGTACATGTTATATTTCTTATTGTCTTGAAAAGATTTTTCGACAAGTACCTTAAAATTAAAAAATAAAATATACACGATTATGTTTTCTTATATACGAATGTTACGAATTTAAACGATTTCAAGAAATATACATATATTTTACAGTCCTACCTTATTGGAAGTTGATTCAAAGGACTTGTCATTCCAGGAAACGTCTGGATCAGTCCAAATTGTATGTACTGGTTTTGAATAATCACTAGATCTGTGGGTAGACGTATTTTTTGCTACTTCTTCCTCGTAAATTGTAGAGACAGATGGTTTCAATTTTGAACCATTGTGACGATTTATTAACTAAAAATTAGATATATTTTAATAAATATTGATTTTATATTGACATTAATGTTTTTGCTTGTGATTCAATACTAACAACAGAGACGCCAAATATAATGATAAAGAGTAATCCACCAACACCAATTACGATTACAGCAATTGCCCATTGTGGAATTAGTCTATCATCTTTCTCAATGTATTGAGGAGTAGTTGCTTTAGGTATCACTGAAAGGGAATTTTTAAATAAAATATCAAAGTACTAATTTTATAAAATACATACTTAAGTGGGAACGTACCCACAAAGTCCGTATACTTTGGGTCAATTGTAAACGATCCAAGTTTTATGGAACCCTTTGTTTTGGTCTCGTTCCATCTATTTGTGTTATACGTTCGTAACGAATCGTGGAAAATAACTTTCAACTCTTGCGTGTTAACTTTTTGTTCCAAGTCAGCCAGTTCAACAAAATAATCTACCAAAATACTACCTTCGCTAAAATTCATTTTTCCATTAAATGAATAGTACAACTTTGTAAACTTAGGATTTTCCATAGTTGTATGATTACCTGAATGAATCGATCCGTATTTTTTTATACCACTTTGCTAGGACAGCAGATTTTGAGAATATGAAGTTCATCTATTAAAAAGCAAATATAAATTTTATCGGAATATATGAAATAAATATTTTTTAATGTAATACCAGACTCGTATGAATACCTCTTGTTCAATTTCATTGGCAAGATTCTGCCATTCTTGAGTATTTCGATCAAGTAATTCCGGTACCCAACTGGCATTACCAATTATTTTTATTGTTCCAGCGACTTCGCAATCTTGTTCACAAACTCCTGGAGTAGTCGGTCTAGGTGTTGTCGTTGTAGTTGATGTTGTCGAAGTACTCGATGTTACTTCGGTTATTGGGATAAGCGATGCAGACGAAATTGTTGCGGTTCGAGCAGCCTCCAATAACTTTTCTATCGAGATTGGCGTGGTTGATGGAGTTGGCCATCCAGTAAATTCTGTAGTAGCCCTGTAAAAGTATTAAACACCAGCTTAATATCGAGTCGACTTAACTTGGATTTGCATCTAAAATTTTAATGTTAAAGTTGAATTTATTTTAAATCTAATTTGCAATTTTATATCCAAATAATAGTACAGTTTATAAGATTCACCTGGTCGGCCACCCTTTTTGTATTTTCGGTGTAACTGTGCCAGGTCCTTCACCTCGTGGACTCGATGGCGTAGTAATTTTATAAATTGGCTTTCGTCCTCCAGGTCTGCTGGGGAACACGATTTTTAAACTACCAGGCTTCTTTGTCGTAGATGAAGTAGATTCTATCGTCATAGGAGTATTTGTTTCTGTAGAATTCTCGATACGAATGTCTTTTGCTTCTGAAGTAACATTCTTCTTCTGTTCGTAATCACGCGGTAACAAGGAAGAAATATCAAATTTGGATTTGGCAAACAAATCCTGAATGGTTTTTTCTGCTGGTAACTTTTCTGACGAAATATTTACGCTTTTCGCTGTTGTTGTTGTTGTTATTGTTGTAATTAACTCATTTTTTATATTGGAGGTACCTCCACTTTTCCTCTTGTTATAATCCTGTGGTAACAATGACGATATATCAAATTTCGATTTCGCAAGAATGTCGGTTAAAAGCGAGCTTTCCGTAACAGCCACATCTTCTTTTTTTAATTTGTATCCAGGTGGTAAGAAAGCGCTGATATCTTGAACGATTACGTTGGTTTTAGGTTTCTTAGTCGTGGTAGTAGAAATAGTTGATAGGAGTTGAGTTGTGGTTGCTTCTGTTGTGCTAGTTGTACTCTTTGTGGGCCATCTAAAGGACATCAATCATAATTTTATATATTTCTTTTTACGTTTAGCTTCATTTATTAAATTCGTAGAAACATACAATATAAATTTATACTATCTATCGCAGTAAATACACTTGAGAAAACATTATGCAAAAAGGAAATCTTTTAATTGTTCTTATTATCACTGGAATACACGCGTATGCATATATCTCAGAAATATGTGTAAATATAAAAAGCGAACATTGGAAGTATGAAACAATATCAGTCTTATAAGCAAATTTAAACCAAATTTAAAAGATTACCTACCTAAATCCAGTCTTCGGAAGTGTTGATGGAGTTGACGAATTCCTCGTAACATAATCACGCGGTAGCAATCCTTCTAAGTTATCAAGAGTTGTTTCAATCTTCGGCTTCGGTGTGAGATGATCAGTTCTCTTGTCGTTATATCGACGAGGTACAAACTTGCTAATAACCGGTGTTTTAGCGGTAGTTGTATATCTCCTCCGATTATTCCGATCTCTTTCATTCAAGACATCTAATTGAAGCGAATTACCAGCTGTCCTGAAGCCACCGGTGAGGAAACCGCTAGATAATTCTGATTGTACCCTGTCCAATTTGTCGATAATACTCTCCGTTGACTCTGGAGGTGGCGACGTTTTCTTTTCACCATTATGGCCAATCGGTTCGATACGATCTATCACTGGAAACGGTAAGAACCGTGCACCGGATATGCTGCGACTTGTCTGAACGGAAGCTAATATTCTAGACGTATCTTCAGTTGTTACCGCTGTAACAGGTTGTTCCATGGTTCCCATGGACGTGGAAGAGGGTGGTGCTGCAACTTGTTCGGTAGTGGTCGGAGAAGACGTCGTTGGAACGGAAATCGTGCCATTTACGACGCTTTTCGTCGTTACTACTGACACTACAGCTTCTCCGATTAAAATGGAACTATCCGCGAAGGAGGAATTTCTATCAAATTTACTCGGTGGTCCGAGAAAAGCGAACGTTTTGTCGCTGCCTTCCATCGAGGAGCCTTCTTCGTTGTTAGTCGTCGAAATTGACGTGTCTAGATCCTTTTCTTCGAACAGGTCCGACGAGGAATCGTTCACGTTCCCTGTAAGACGAGAATCCAAATATTTCTCATCTTTCTCCAATGAACCGTGTTCGTTACGTTGTAAATTTTTAATCTTCTCCAGTTTCTCTCGCTCTT